TCAATATGCCCAAAATAGAAAATGGTACACAAATTTCAAATAGAAAATACAGAAACTTAATTTGTGAAATAATATTTTTCTCTTCGAAAACATCTATTATTATGAACCGGAATGAGTATACTCTTTTTTTTTCTGTACTTATATAGAGATGTCAATAAAAGCATGCAGCTACACATTTATCAAAACTTATGGAGAGTAAAAGAATCGTACCCACAAATCTTTGGTAAGTCGTCTGCTTTTGGGACATGAGGAGCCATAACTGTAGTCAATGTATCCCTCCAATTCGCAGCTTGAGAGCTATAGAGATCGAAATTCGTATTATACTTAACCTTTTTGGTGATGTCACGGCTATAAAACGTTTTCTTCACTTCTGAGTCTTGCTCATGAAACCCACGAATCCCATCTTTCATCTTCTCCATAACATCAACCGGAATCCCATGGTTAATCACTTGGAAAAACCCAAATTTCTCAACCGCTTCTCTCACTTTGGCGATTACGGTCTCTCGCATGACCTTGGATTCGAACAAGCCTCCTGCAAGATCTATTGTTGGGATAGTCACCGTGGAGGAGGGTTTAGGGTTTGTTAAAGTGACTTGCGGGTGATGGAAAATGCGTGGGATTTTTGTGACTCCGGCGTCGACAAGACCCTTTACGCCGATTTTCATCTCGTCGAATGCTTTAACCTCACCGGCACGGTTGTATGTTCCCATCATTGTGTCCTTCGACCCCATGATTTTTGTGTGTGTGTCTAGAAAAACTTGTGTTGCTCTGTATTGTCAGAGCTTAATTTTTATTTATAAGGAAAACATCAAATAGACGACAGAAGAAAAGTACTTGGTGTGTGAATCAAATACAATTTGAAGTTGAAAAAAATCACAATTTCTTTGCTCCACTTTTTGGTTGATGTCAGTCCTGGTTTATGTCATAGCCCATGTGATACGTACTGTCCTTGAGTAAGTCTAGTGCCCGTAGTAAAACTAATTTGGGACCTTAGACCATCATTAATGGTCTAAAAGAAGAAGAAAAAAACGGAACTTTTGAGAATTTTGTGCCGAGATTTTTGAGACGGTCTCTAAACGGTTTCTGCCACATGTTACTATATTACTG